AATGGACAGACCGGGTGATGATTTGGTCCAGTCCCCAACGGACCCATCACTATAATCCTCTCCAAGCCGCTTCATACACCAAAGATCCTCGGCGCACCCAAGCCATTTCCAGTGGGGGATCCCCGACTTGAGTGGTTCGCGGCTCGACACCTCGGTCACCACCACACTGCACCCACGATCCTTGGCCAAGTTATGTGCAAATCCACACAAAGCCTTAATCAGCTTAACCGAGTCGGGCCCATCTCCACCCAGCCCGTACAAGAAATGAACCCCGAAGGGACGAAACACCTCAGGCACCGAAGGTATACGGAGCCATGGGAATGCCTTGTCCACAATCCGAGTCGTCTTGGCCAGTCCGCGCTTCACTCGCGATGCCCCACGTACTTCTAACGTAAACACGTCTTTACTGTTCCAAACGCTTAGAATCGCCCACGATTCCGGCGGCTCCGAGAGGAACCGCTCAATCCCGGGCCACGACTCCGGGTTGTAAGAACCGGAAGGAACGGCGACGAAGGTGCCGAGGTTGAGTTTATTGTTGAGGATAGCGTCGATGTCGCGGGGGAAGAACTCGGTGGTTGAGAACCGGCGGCGGTAGAGTGTCTCTGCGTCGGAAGGGTGGAGCCTGAAGACTTGGACCCGCTTGGGGATTCTGAGTGGGTGGGCAAAGACGGGGTGGACCAAGATGGAAGGAGTACGAAACTTATTGTAGCCGCATCGATCAGTGAAGAGCTTAACTGACGCTTCGTTGTCTTTTTCCGTTGCCATGTAAGCGTACTCAGCACCGTTTTCTCTAAACCAGTCCTCCATCCGAGAAACCAGCTTCAAACCAATACCCATGCGCCTGAGAAGAAAACAAAATTAATGAGAATTTCTTGTCGCTTGAAAACATGGCGTTTAGTTTAGTAGTTTGTAAACGTTCTTAGTCCTGATAATCTATGAGGCTGATTCAGTAACGGGAAGGAAAAGTGGGCTTTCGCTTTAGCGAGTGAGAGAGTCTACTGTCTATTATCGAATATTTATGTAAAGCCAAGGGAAAGAGAGAGAGAGAGAGAGAGAAGAATAAAATAATAATGAGAAAGAATGGTAAATAAAAAGAAATGGCACCTGTGAGAAGGAGAGACGCGAAGGCCTAAGATGTAGGCCACTTTGGTGTAGACGGGGAGGGGCTTAAGTGGAGTATTATCGTTGCCGCCGTTTTTTCCATTTCTGGAGAGCTTTTTGCCGCACGTAACGGTCTTGATGCAACCTCTGATAACCCCAACGATCTCTTTTTCCTCATCCATCTCGGCTACCTGTTTAGGTAGTAAATCCATTCAAACGTTTTAACAACCCACGTAATAAGTTTCAAAAAGAATAAGATAATAGTAATCGAAAATTCATATGAAAACCGATGAACAAGGAAAGGAGAATAGAAGAAGACGAGCAACTCGGTACAGTGCAGGAAGAGTGGGAGCAAGGAAGACGATTAGAAGGAAACCGAAACGCACCAACATGAGAAAAGCGGGAGAATGGCGGACCCTGCAAATGGGGTCTCCCAACAAGTCAGTGAAGAGAGAAAGCTTGCCGCTGGGTCCGACCTCGCAACGTCTTTCCACCTCCTCCACACCTAAACAGTCCTTCTCTGCATCGAACTCTCTCACAACAATTACAACCTCTTGCCCCATCTCTGTTTTTATCTCACACAGTAGAACAACACACTTGACGAAAAACAGAAGAAATGCAGAAGAGAGGAATGAAGTAAGAGTATGTTGGTGTCTCCAGTTCAGTTGGGATGAGAACCAAGTAAGACGATACAAGGAGGCTTTATAGAAGGAGCCGATAGAGGAGTAACGAGAGGAAGGGCAATCATCAGTTGTTAAATCGCAGCTTTTTCAAGGCCGCAAAATCGCCTGAATCACGTGTCCAGCAAGCAAAGCAAGAATAAAAAAAAAAAAAAAAAGGTTATCAAAGGGAGAGGGTTGAAATAAATAAGCTTCCAAAGCTGTTCGAGCCATTCATTTCGATTCATTCCGCACCTCTGTCCTTCTCTCTCTATTTACTAAATACTGAAATTTATCGGGAGCCTATTCGGATGCTATTTCTTGCTTTTGTCAATATTCAATAACGATGAGTAGATTATCATTGGATTGAAATTGTGGGGTCTTTAAATGATTCATTTAATTACTCAACAAAATCAATAAAATAATAATTACATTCCCAATTCATTTTCTTTTTTCCCACCTTCCATCTTTCCAACCCTGCCATTCTCTCTCGCACTCGCGCGCGCACACTCTCTCTTTCTCTCACGAATCGTCGCTCTCATAGTCATATAAATCTAAATCTAAATAAATAAATTATTTAAGATATATATATATATATATTTTTTTTGCTATCATCCTTTAATCTTCGATTTGGAAAGGGAGCCGGTAATCGTAGAGTTGGCTTTACTTTCTCTTTCTCTCTCTAGGAATAATAATTATCACGAAAAGGAAAACGGGAAAATGGCGGCTGTGACTGCGCGCAGTCGCTCTCATGCTTCTCCTAGCAGTTAGCCCTCCCTCCCCCTCTCTCTCTCTCTCTCTCTCTCTCTCTCTCTCTCTCTCTCTCTCAAATTGCAATTTGTAGAACACATACTTAGCATGGGAGGTCATGTATATTGATACTTGATCATGGCATCATCATGCATGCATGTATTCCCTACTTCAAAATAAACAAAGAAAAAATACGATTTTTTTTTTCTCTCTCTCTATATATATAATATATATAATCTGTCCACTTGGTAATTATCTGCAGGCGGAACTAACAACGTGGCGTAACCGAGACCGTCGATTGGGGAAAGGCTGTTCCCCATGTTCTCACTCAGCCACCAAAGACGAGACTCGTGGCCTTCAAAGCCGGAATCTGCCCCGTTAATTATTAGAGGAAACCTTCCCAGTTCCCACATCATGGCATCATCACCTTGGTAGCTCGTATTTGTTCTTCCACCTTCCGCCCTTCGTCTCCTCCATATTTTCCAGTATGAATTGTCCCCGTCCCTTATTAATGATGGGTGTTTGATCTATGATGTAAAGTTGGTAGTGTAGTGCGTAATTAAATAATAACTCCAACGGGATTTAGGTCGTTAGGAAGGAATGAAGAATCGGATAGAAAAGGAGGAAGCGTAATTACTAATTAGGGTTCCCCACTGTCTGACCTCTCCCTTTTCGGTTCGGTTATTCATCTCACCAGAGAAGTGGAGTAAGATTGTTGTTAATTGCAGAAGAAGCCGTTTCCACAATGATTGGAGTATCTCATTGAGAGCGGGCGACGCATCAATTAAAACACCAAGCTTCCTTTTCGCTACTCCTTCAATGAAGGGTTTTATTTATTTTTTTCTCCCCCCCTCTCTGTATAAATAAATTAAAATAGACGTTATTTTTGGGATTTTGATTCTCTAGTTATACTTAATTACATTTTAATGAGAAGCAATTAAGTAGTAATGGTTGGATTAATAGAGATTTTAAAATTATTTTTTAAACAGATGGCAATTAGAATTAGAAAGGTGATAAGTCCTCCTTGATTTCATGGTTAGGATGGGGATTGGGGAAGGAAGGTTCGTTTGGTTTTATTTTTATTTGATTTATTTAAAAAAGTTAGTGGCATCTAAGGAAGTGATGTCTTCCTTTTTTGTATTTTATTTTGATGGCTTTTTGTTTGGAGTAACTATCAAAGTATACGTGGAAGACATCCGGATGTACGCTTTTAATTTTCTTTTCTTTTTTTTTTTTTTTACAAATGTGTTGGGACATCTCATCTAACCTTTGTTATTGTGTTATTGTGGATGCAAGAACATCTCACAATATTTAAATTGCTTACGTTTTAATAAATTGTAACGTTCACGTCAGAGGAGGGGAGGGGGGGGGGATGGTATGTTAAATGTTATGGACTTGTGGTGGTGGATCCATCGCATCCATCCCATTCTTTATTATCCACCTTTTTCTATATACATTTGATATTTGATTTGATATACAAAATATTAATAGAGTATTCTCCGTACAACAATAATTTTGATGGTACTCTTTTGATATTTTGGTTTAATTAATTAATTTTATATAAAGGCATTAGGTAAGAAATTAAAATGGAAGTTAATTAATTAGTGAGCAGTAGTTCAAAGACTTTCTGCTGCTACTGTTGACTCTGAAAATCCTCCAGAATTTGATGTTGAGTTTCCGCTGCAGAAAGAGATGGAGGGGATTATGAAGATATTGTGATAGCTATTCTTTTATTCTGTTATATATAACCAAACAAAGATTTTTTTTTTTTTTTTTTTTGGTTTTTTGTTTTGAGAGATCAGAGATAGTTGGAAGATAACCTTTCCAACTTCAATCAGTAAATGTATGTGGCAATGGACAATGGACCTCCACAAGTTTGTGGCCGTAAATACCTTATTATATATAACTATTATGGCTGCTGATTGGTTTTAATTTGCAATTTTAGCCAGCATACATACACAGAGAGCATATTTGATTGAGTTACAAGTGTGTGGACATGTAATCCCATCTGTGAAAATCCTTGTAGACCAAAAGAACCCCACAAAATCAAACCTCCCCCCCCCCCCAAAAAAAAAAAAAGCAAAAGAGCAAATTTGAGAGACAAAATGGTRGTAAACTGTTCTGGACGATGACAATTTGACGTGCCAACCAAAAATATCTCTCACTTGTGATTCCACTTGACACAGTTCACACCTATATATTAATTCCAAATTTCCAATTGTTGTCTCCCTTCAACAATTGAATAGCTACAAACCCAAATGCCACCCTAAGCTAAGCCATAGTTTTTCTTAATGAAAAGCCAGCAAAAAGACTAGACCAGGCTGCACCTCACCGGATGGATGCAACTAGCTAGCTAGATAGCTACAAACTAGAAACTAGAAAGCGGTGTTTGTGCTGGTGCAATAATCGTTCATTACAGTTAACATGGATCTTAGTTATGTACTATATATGGTATTCCCCACTAGTCGTTAAACCGAAGAGGGCGAGATTAATTAATTTGTTAAAGAAAGAATATATATATATATATATATATATGAGTTGGAATACATGATCAATATATTAATTGGACCGTTCAAAATGAAGCATATAGAAGCAGCAGCGTCGTTGGAACATGCTGAAAGAGAGAAGGGGTGGTGAATGGGGTGATGGATGCATGCCAAATGCCAATGGTGTGTAATACTACTAGTAGTAACGTAGTAGCTACTAGCCGGTAGTGTTTGGTTTTATTGAGACTCTCGTTTTCGACATGTAGGCGGGCCAAGTTAGTTATATTTAGATGTACCGCGTGATGGGAACAACCGAGGTCCATCATCTTCCATGAACACCGGACCGTCAATTAGCTAGATAGCAATCAATTTGTTAGCATCACCTAGTTTTTATTAATCTTATAGAAAATTCAACCACAACCACAACCATTAATATTTGGATAGTAGTAGAGAAGTAGTAGGTATCAAGTAATAGAGATCATCACTAGCTAAGAGGTACAAGAACAAAATTAATATGCAAATTAACTTATATATGGTGTGTATATAACCACACAAAGGAATAAATTAAAAGGAAAGTTATTTCTTTTGATAATAATTAAGCCAAGAAATCATTTGTACGTGTACGTATTTGTATTTGAATTGAAGGTTCAAAACAAATGGATCGAACGGCCACCTTTCTACGTTAATTTAATTTCTACTTAAAACAAGAGACAGAAAGAAATCTCTTTATTTTAAAAATGTCACGCGCCTTTTGAAAGAGGGTTGGTTTTTCTTGCCATTCCCATATCAAAAGAAACAAATTAAAGGTCCCTTTGGATTTGGATTAGCATCACTTTTACTTCTAACTACTAAAAACTAAAAAAATAACCACCGACTCCACAAATCGATTCTATTATTATTAACTTTTAATAGCCTGCAGCCCTCCACTTGGCGTCGCCCTCCCCACTTACCATCTTCTTTAATCACTTCCCTATGCTTTATTTCACTAAATTTATTGATTAATTTAATCAAAATATCCACAACTTTGGCGACCAACCTACTCACTTGTGACTACGACTGTTCTCTCTCTCGTGCCTCGTGGTGTCCATTTCCTTTTACGAGCGACGAAGGTGACGACTCACAAGTCACAACCTTGCCGTGAAATACTATTTTTGAAGCGCATTCCCGTGACAGACTTAACAGTAACAAAGAATGAAAGAATACATTACTAGGATTGGTTAGGGTACGAAATTAATTAGAACCAGCCCCAACCTACCAACCACAAGGAAAAAAACATGGCAACAAGTGTTTTACCATTTCTCTAGTCTAGTATATATATATATATATATATATATATATATATGTTAGCACTTACTTCAGAATTAATGAAATTCCATTAAATGTATATCATGGGATTCATGCTTGTACGTACAAGTTATCTACCAATGCTATATAACTCATGAGTCCTGAGTCCTAACTCCTCTCGTTGTTTTGATGTTGTATGCGTGTTTCAATTGAAAACAGGTATATATTTTCTTGTGATGATATATTATAAACGTAAACACACATCTGCACCTTTAGACGTAGTTGGTGAACAACCAAATATTAATTATATAACATGACGAATCCAGCACCAATTTTATTTCTATTATGCCTGTAAACCATTGCCAATGCCAGCTGGATCTAACGAAGAAAATTTTGAGGAGGAAGGGGATTCTGAAATCGATGCATGACTATAAATAWAATTAACATGATTTGCGCGTGGTTTGTTTGAATTATAAATATAATTCGATTGATTGACATATATGTATGTACATGTACATATTTCTCTTATATATGTAGCTTGGTTAATTTCAAGGCCTAGATGTTTGAATTACTTTTATTCATCCAATCAACGTAAGGA